CGGCCACCACCCTCCCCAGCCCGTGGCCAGGGATCCCGGCCGCGCTGGGTGCGGCCGCTCACGTGTGTGGCTTAGTGTTTCTTAAGTAGTGGAAAATTGACCGAAAAATGCGCTAATTCGCAATGTTCTGCTTTGACTGCGGGAGGCGAGGCCTGGCGCGGCAGCCCGGGCGGGGTCCTCAGCCGTCTAGCTCAGTCCGGGCCCACTTGACCCGCCTCCGACTCCCTTGCCCCCTCCCCGGTGGTCCGTCCTTGAGCAGGGGTCTCCCCATCTGGGCCGATACCCCCCATTTTCTCGGCCTTCCCCACAACCACGTGGTTCCCCCACCACAAACAGCACCCCCCGGCCGGTTCCTTGCCTAAAGCCGTCGGAGGGTCCCCGTAGGATCAAGGACTGAAGGGATCCTGCTGCGATTTCCATTCTCCCTTCTTCCCAGAGCTCTGGGACAGCTTCTTCCCGCTATCCCCACTTTACCCCTAATTCGGGCTCCTTCCTCTGGGCAGCCGCTTCCCCCACTAAGTTACACTCAAATCTTTGCACAGGAGAAGGTCATTGGAAAAGATAGCAGGTAAGTCTCCACCGAGAACCTTCCTGGAACCCGGGCTCAGGACCCATGTTCCATCCCACCTCCCCACCTGCAGACCACTCTGCAAACTGCATCTGGGCATCCTATTCCCCCCTCCAGGCAGGCCAGGCTAGGAAGGGGCCCACAGAGATGGGGAGGAGTTTTGCGGGGTCGGGGGGGGGGTGCGGCAGCAGGTTCACTGTGTCCTCTCTGAGAAAAAGCAGTACAGCGTGGACCAACTTAGAAGCGGGGCTTACGCAAGCCGCGATGTAGGCCGCTGACTCCCTTTCCATCTTTAGCATCTGGGGCCCCCAAGGTGTCCTGGAAAGGAGCACAGATCCAGGAGGAGCGCTGGGGAGACCCAGGCCCCCTCCCCTGCTCATTCAAGGAAGAAAACATTCTTCTATACCTCCTGAGGCCTCTCAGGACCTTCAGGGCTGCTCAGGGGCCCCTCCTTTCTCACGGTGGGGAATTTAAGGGAAAAAGCAGCCTGCGTCTTTGACCTCTCCCCTCAGTTTGGTTTTCCTGATTTTGGCAAAGAAAGAACATTGTATCAGGTCTGGAAATGAACATTGTATCAGGCCTGCGTCTTTGACCTCTCCCCTCAGTTTGGTTTTCCTGATTTTGGCAAAGAAAGAACATTGTATCAGGTCTGGAAATGAGGTGGAGAGAGAGTTTGTGCCCCAGGGAGATATTCCACTAACCCATCGCGGGTGACAGTCCTGTACAGCCCCGACACCCTTTTCTTCCTGCACTCTGGGCATTTCAACCAATGCTCACAGGTGAACACCGTGCAGCCTACTGAGGGTGCCACTGGAGGGAGAAAGGTGTCGTCTCCCCCACGTCTCCCGCAGACGCATTTCAAAGTGGATGAAGTGATTGCTCCATGTAATTAACTATTGGGACACAGCAAAAGCCCTGAAATGACTCAGTCAATTGTCTCCAGATGGGGTTGGAGAGGCTGCGATTGTTTAACTCTTTTTAGCTGTGTTGGTACTCCGAATAGCCCAGCAGCCAAGGGCCCTTAAGGGGACAAAGGCTGGGACTCCAGTGAGTGCATCAACGCTGACCGGGCTAGCCCAGTTCGGGGAGAGTGAACTCAGAAAGACCCCCACTGTCCCAACCTTTTGTGTTTCGCCCTAGCTGGCTCTAAGCTTTATTTACCCGGCCCCTTTGTGCACTTATGACTTATGCATTTGGCTAATATGCTCATAACTTACGTGTTATTTACCCATTTCTAGACCAGAAAGAGGGGCTTTCATTTCCCCAGCCTGAAATGGCCAGAGAAGGGGAAAGGAAACTTTTGGAAGACCAGGGGAGAGCTGTAGGCACACTGGACAAGCCCCTCCCTGCTGCCCTCCTGGCCACCACATGGGCACTGGACAGGGCAGAGGCCTCTGAATGATTAGAAGCTGTAGGAGACAGTCTCTCCAAAAATGACTGACATGGGAGCCATCAGCGAGGAAGAGGGAGAGGTGGATTCCTGGACTTTTCCCTACTTGGTTTCAAGCTTAGACAACACCTAGGACAGGACTTTTCACTCTGGGAAGCTAGTGTGTGGGTTGAGGTGCTTGGTTATACACAGGTGAGAAGCAAGAAGGCCTGGCCTCATCTCTGCACCTGCCCTCTGCTTGCCCTGGACCATCCTCCCCCTCTTTCTACATTCTCTCTTGCTCAATAAAGCAATCCCATTTAAGAAAAAAAAAGAAATCCTAATTTTATCTCAGCCTGCAGTTTAACTTGGAAATATCAAGATGGATCTTAGGGCTTCTGCCCTCTGCTTGCCCTGGACCATCCTCCCCCTCTTTCTACATTCTCTCTTGCTCAATAAAGCAATCCCATTTAAGAAAAAAAAATCCTAATTTTATCTCAGCCTGCAGTTTAACTTGGAAATATCAAGATGGATCTTAGGGCTCTCTAAAACCAGAGGGATCCCCACGTGGGCCCAGGAAGGAAAGCCACCTCAGCCTGTGGGCGCATGGCAGGATAGGGGAGGGAGGTCGGGGGGGAGGTTGCAGAGGGACCTTCCTGCATGAGAAAGGGCTCCCTTTGTGCTTGCCTCCAAGCTCCTAGAACAAAACACATTCAAATGCTTATTTACAAGAAAAGGCTAGCAGGGCATGCCAGGGCCGAGTAGTTTTCCTTTTTTTCTCATATTTTTGTAGGTTTGTCATCCCGCAAGTCTGGAGAGCTGGGTGCATAATGGGTTTGTTTGATCGGATTGCTTTCCTCTCTGGCAGGAAAACAGGTCTCTGTATAGGGGTCCTGTGTATGTTTCTGTCTGAATCTCTGTGTGCGTGTTTCCGAAGTGTGTGTGACTTTGCTTCTCTGGGTATATGCCTGGGTGTGCATAGATTTGCTTCCTGGCCTTTCTCCATTGCTTCTCTGTGATTCTCGGGCCCTGACAGATTCAGCAACTTCAGTGACTTCTAAAAATTCTTTCCTAGAGTCCGGCCCTCCTTGGGAGAGGACTGCCTCCGCTTCCTTTCTCTCTTCTCCACGATGAGGCTGGTGAAGATATAGGACCTAAGGGGAGGTGACGGGCAGAAGAGAGTGTCACTTAGTTCTCCAGTCTGGGTTACATGTTACTCTATGCCCCCCAAATGGCCACAGTCCCTGGGGATAAATCAGGGCTTAAGACAGTGCGGAGAGCAAATGCGCATCCCGCGCAGAAGTGCTTTTTAGCCCCAGGACCAAGCTCACTCCCAGGAGGGAAGGTGCGACGAGCGCCCTCTAGTGGCCCTGAGGTGTTCTGGCGCAGAGGGGGCCGGGGGTCCTGGGTCAGGGGCGGGGGCTCCAGTTCTAAGCCCCCAGTGACAGTAAGGCCTGCGCTGCCTTCCCACCTGGCACTGCAACTGAGCCACTTTGGTTTTCAAAACTTTGAATCTCTGTTCAGTTACCATCAACCAAGTTTAGCAAATGTCTCCCGAGCATCATTTAAACATGATTACTGGGCTTTACAGAATGAGTATCAATATGACAGAGGAATCAGGATCCCCATGTTAGGAGAAACTGAGGCTCATAGAATTGATTTACCCAAAGTCACAAAGCTAGGGTGCAGAGTTTTAGGGTCTGGTATTCCAGGGCTCTGCCAGGACCTGTGGGGACCGCAGAGAGCGGAGAGGTCAGAGCTCACAGCCCCCTTAGCCCCAGCGGTCTCGGGCCTCCCCGAGGGCCTGTCCCCCATCCCGCCTCAGGCCTGCTCCCCCCGGCCTCTGTGCCTTTCACAAGCGGTGTCCTCTTTCCCTCCTTGCTCTCATTTCCAGCTGCAAGCGGGCTGCCATCCCTGAGGGCCCAAGGCCTAGCTCCACCGTCCTTTCCCTGCCGCCCCAGCACCTGCCCCTGGGGTCCCTCTCGGCTCCCCATCCTTACTTTGCTCCTGCTTCACTCCAACCCCGGCAGAGTTTATTCTAGTCATTTCCTTGTCTTTCTCCTCCAGCACTGCTCTCTGAGCTCTTTACAAAAGTCAAGAACCATGTCCGATCATAAAACTATTAATACGTTCATTGTAGGCCGTATGGAAAATACCAAAATCTGAAGGCAGTAAAAATCGCCCGGAGTTCTCCTACCTGGAGATGATGGCTGTGAGATCATTTTGGCTAATATTTCAATCATTTTCTCAGGCTCACACATGCGCTTCTTTTCTCCAAGTGAAGTCAGGGTCACAAAAGTCAAGTTCTGTGCTCTGCTTTCTAAAAAACGTAATGTAAGGGGCCGGCCCGTGGCTCACTCGGGAGGGTGTGGTGCTGGTGACACCAAGTCAAGGGTTAAGATCCCCTTACGGGTCATCTTTATTAAAAAAATAAATAAATAAAAAATAAAAACCGGAATATATCCTGAGCATTCCCACCCCCCCAACGTTCTTCCAGCCCAGACGTTTAAACGGGCGGTGGTCTCGTTGCGTGGATACCAAGGGTTGTTTTGGGGGGCTGCTCCCCTGGGCACAGAGCGGGCGCGCAGGGACCCCACGGCGTGATGGGCGGGTGGTCCCCGCGCACGGTCGGAGCCCGCGGACCCCCCTGCGCGCCGGA